CGGCCTGCCGAGCCCAGCAAAGCGGAAGTACCGCCAGGCCTCCAGGCCCCCGGCCCGGGTCCAGCCGCCGGGGACCAGAGCAGCGGCCAGGTGGAGAGCCCAGCGGAGCCTCCCTGGAGCTGACCTTGCCCCAGGTTGCAGGAAGCAGCCCTCCGATGCCAGCCTCCATCTACTTCGACCTGAGGGTTGGTGTCCTAGTTAACCTTTTAACCTAGTTAACATCCGGAGATGTCCTGGTTAACCTTTCCCTGGTTAACTAGCTGGGACTCGGGGACCATGGCCTTCATTGCAAATTCTCATTGAGTACGAAAGTAATGGGGGAGTAGCAATGGAAAGAAAAAAAAAATTGGCTTCTTGTTTGGAAACGCTTCCCTCCCCACCCCCACCAAGGAACTCCAGCCCACCCTGATGACTTTCGGGAAGGTACCCGGAGGAAATGGCAGTTTTCACAAGTAGTTTCACGAGTGGAGCCCCTAAGAATCTGGAGGGGATGGCTCTCTGCTTGTTCCGTGGTAGTTCTAACAGTAACACAGTCGAGGACCCCTTGTCTTCAGGGGTAAAGATTTTCTTTAGTGTGTCAAAGGGACGACACCAACTCAAGGAGAAGGGTGGTAGGCCACTCTCAGGCCCTGGTGCTACAAGCTAATGGAGAGGTTGGTGGTTCAGTTGCACCCAGAGCCACCTGGGAAGTTAGGGTGGAGGGGAGTCAGCCATTGAAGACCCCACAGAGCACAGGCCTACCCTGAAGCAAGAAAACCTGAACTCTGCCATTGAGGGATTCCATGGACTCAGAGAGACCCTGTAGACAGGGTAGACTGGCCTTGTGGGTTTCGGAGACTTTGACAGCTACAGTGTAACTCTTTACAGGAGTGGAAAGCCTCCTCTTTCTCTCTGCGAGCAGTGAGTGCTGGTGTCCCACCGCTGACCTAGCAGTCAGTAGCCCACGGAGTGACCCACTAAGAAATGAGGGCTCCTCCCGATGTCCAAGAGGGGGCTTCAACAACCTCATGGAAAAATGGAACTGAAAGATAATGGAATTTTCCCATAACTTCTTGTAGGACTCTGGCACTGGTGCCAGGGGCCATCACTCTTGTATGCCTGTACAGATTCCCATCCCTGGAGCCACACGGCCTCCACTCGGCCTTCACAGCGCTGTAGCTCAGCCTCCGTGTATTGATTTTCTTTTTTAAAACGTGGGTTTTCTTCCTTAAAGCGTGCTGCACCTTTTTGCATTGGCAAGGGTCAACGATTTTAACATTTTCCAACATGTGTGTTAGCGCATTAACATGACCCAGGCGGTACTAGAGGCTGTGGATGCGTCAGACTGCAGACTCTCCTACGGAAAGGGAGTACTCCTCAAACCTTAAGGACATCTTTGCTCCTTTTTTATAGAATTAGAACTTTAAAACCCAAGAGCAGCAGCAGCATTCCATTACAAAAGCAAGTCAGG